AAAAAAATTCAACTAATTGAGAATCTTTGACTTAAATATAGAAAATGCCGAAAAATAAAATAGTGAATTGTATACGTGAGAGTTTTTTTTTCTATAATAATATATTTTGAGGTAATTTAAAAATTAACAATAGAAATGGATAAGGGGTAATACGTGTAATAATTTTTATAGTAATTTATAAAAATAGTATTTTCTCTTTGATATAATAAATTTTAGAGGTGAATTATAATTATATATATATATATAACTAATTAACTTTATATATAAAATAATCATAAAGGTGGTGAAAGGTATTAGCATGATAAAGACGTGAAATTAAAAGCAGGAAAAGTCGGAAATTTTATATTACTTCAATGTAAGTATTCAATCCCTACAAGAATATAATGCAATTAATTGTAACTTACAACTGAAATAAAATTAAGGCCTCAGTTGATTTTATAAGGTCCAAAAGTCATTGAAAATTAAGAAAATTTATGATAAAGTATTAATTAAGTCCTTGAATTACAGACTATATAATAATTTAATCCATTTTATATATATATATATATTTGTATATAAACTTATAAAATTATTTCAAAATTAATTATTGAGGCTAAAATAGTAAAAATCCTCTTGTCTTAATTAATTAACATAAAATTAAAAACGTAATTTAAATTATAGAGTACTATATTGAATTTTAAGTAAATATTTTTTCTATTTTTTTAAAAAATTATTTTAAGATGTAAAATATTAAAAATATATATATCTTTTCTTGGATTAAATAAATATAAAATATATAATTTACAATTTAAGGCTAAAAATTCAAAATAATTTTGAAGAAATAGTTATTATAGATTTTTATATCTTTTGTTATACTTACGTGGATATTTAAATAAATTCATAATAAAAATTTTAATATTGTGATTATAAATTAATTTAAAAATTAAATTAAATTAAATTAATAATTCACCCAAAAATTCACTTTCCAATCAGCATTTGCTTGGGAATATTTTTTTTTTTATGACTCACTGAATGACCAGTGCCCCGCGACTGTAACTCAGTTTTGTCTCTAACCTCATATATATATATACATATACATATATAAATTATATATTTCCCTTCAATTATTGATCTAAAAAATTTCACACCATTTTTTATTATTATTATTTTTATTAAAAAAAAAAAAAAAAACATAGACCCACCGCTTTCATCACCTTCGATCACCATCACCGTCTTCTTCTAACAGATCTCTTATCCATTCTTCGAAGCCCAAATATGAAATAACCAATATATGTGTATATATGTATGTATATACTGGTTTCTTTCTGAAATTAAAAAAAAATTAAATGATGGATAATAACACAACCACAGTGATTACTGTTGTCCAGCCACCACCACCATTCCCTGCTCCTCCTCGAAGCATCGATTTATCTCCACTCGAGTTCATTCTCGCTCTCATCGCCGTCATCACCATCCCCGCCTTGGTCTACGCTTTCTATTTCGCCCTTCCCTGTCCTCCCTACTCTTCCCGCCGACGTCACCGGAGCTCCGACGATGTATCCTCCGCCGCCAATCATGCCAATCCGGAGGCGGCTTCTGGTTTGAAGTACCAGAAAGAGGCGCACGTTAAGGAAATCGGCAGCGACTGCCCTGTTTGCTTATCGGCGTTTGCCGATGGAGAGGAGGTTAAACAGTTGAGCGCGTGTAAGCACTCGTTTCACGCTTCTTGCATCGATCTGTGGCTTATTTGTCACGCCAATTGCCCGATTTGTCGGGCTACTGTCGCCGTGAAACGGCCGACTCGTCCCGCAATTTGCCGTCTGGTAGAGAGGATGATCTGCAACAAGTTTGCCGATGCCTCTGCTCTGG